CCCCTCCAGTACGTACTGCTCAATAAACACTGCAGTGAAGCCTTGATTGTTCTGCATTTGTGTCCTGCGTTTTGATCCCACAGTAGCTTCCTTCTGTTTTCCCCACAACAATTCTGTGAGGTGAGTTGGGCTGAGAGAGAGAGCGACTGGCCCAAAGTCACCCAGCTGGCTTTCATGTCTAAGGCGGGACTAGAACTCACAGTCTCCTGCTTTCTAGCCTGGTGCTTTAACCACTAGACCATACTGTCTTTCTTTAGATATCAACAGCTGTCAACAACATCAACAGTTTCCCCACTATAATGGGGGGGGGGGGGTGTTAAAATTGTTATGATGTTCCAAACTAGTTTTAGTCATGTTGTTGCTTTAGACTTGTTGAGAGTCGGGCGGCATACAAGATTGTTGTTGTTGTAAGCCACTTAGAATTGATTGCAAAGAGTAGGCAGCATCAAAATGATTATAACTAACCAAATAAAACAAGATAAGATCAACTGAAAGTTTCTTTCTTTCTTGCTGTTAGTCATTGTGAACATTGTCAGTGGTGAAGAGAAAGAATCATTTTATGTCCAGGTAAAAAGAACCTGAAAGAAATGGAAAAGACTATGCTAAGTCTTTATGAATAAGAAAAGAAATCGAAAATGTCAAAAGAAATTCAAAAGACTATGGTAGTACAATGGTACTGCTTCTCATCACCCTACCACCACACTATATCTTGCTCATATCAAAATCCTTTCCGTTTCCTAACTCAGGTGCTATTCCAATAGAATGAGAGGTGGAAAAATCCCTTTAATTGAGCTGGTCTCTTCTGTTCGTTCAGCAATGCACAGATGGCATGCGCAAACAATCTTTTGTGTGCTAAATGCTTTATGCTTTTCTTTCTGTACTGAGATGTGCTACTGACAGGTGCAGATATCTTTCTACTTCCTCCAACTAGGTGGAAGAGAAAAGTACCTATTACTACAGAGATTTCTCTAAAATTGAATTGGTTACAGGTTAATTGTTTTCTCCTCTTTCAATGTAATCTCACTTTTGACAATTTATCGGTTCCAATGAGATATTTTGACAAGCTAGAATAAAATCACCCTTTTCTTTCCTGTAAAATATAAGGAAGCAACCTTCGCAAGCACTTCAGTCTGAAATCTGATAAGACGCCATTATCAGAAAATGACTGCTGCTTATCATTCATTCTTTTCTTTTCCTCCAGCACTCCATATTGCAAAGCTATCAGAGCAATCTGTGCTATTGTTATAGGCTCCAATCACCTTGAATCAAATGGCATGGCCAGAATTTAAATAGCAAAATGCTGGAAAAAGCAAACCAATCCATATTACAGGGTCTCTGTCAGAACTCGTGAAACCAAGGAAATGCCAATCCAGTTGGCCATTTACTGATAGCAGAATAGCTTTGAGAATATTCACGTTCAGTGCTCTTAGTAGAAATGAAAAAGTAATTATATCCCACTGATATCCCATAACATCACTCTTTCAGAGAATTTTGTTATGATTAAATCTGGGTTAAATAAATCAGTACAAAGAGATAGAAAGACAGCCTTACGTTGATTCTTTTTCATTGCAAGGCAGAAATAACTCAAGGGAGCCTTCTCAAATTCATGGTGATCTCAGCTTCCTTTTTCGTTTGTGGCATCTCATGGAGGGATATTTCAAGAGTTTTAGCAGTTGGAAAAAATCCTATGACCACATCTTTTTATCAAAATGCTAATTACCATGTTAGAATATACAGGTAATATAATACGTCAGTATTTGGAGCTGCGTGTATGGAAATAGATATTTTGGTTGGGCCACCAAAAAAAAGAAAAATAATTTATAGGCCTTCTTTTCTTCATATGGAATGTTAATCAGATAAGGGCAGGGTGAAAATCCCATCCATGGCTACAACAAAGATCTCATATTGACTCCTTTTGAATTCTAGGACTGGGGGGGGGGGAACCTGTTATTTTCAACCTTCTATTTTTTAATAACAATAGTTTATTAAAAACTAATTCAAGGATGGTTAACCTAGGTGGATTATAGAATTGTCTATATTTTTTTCACAAGAAAGTTCTTTGAAATTCTCAAGTGAAGAATATAGAAAATCTCAATCTTGCTAATATTTCATAGCTTGGATTTTGCTATACTGTAGTGAACACACACTTTCCCCCATTTCAGTGTATATGGTGGTAGCATTTTTCTGATCAAAGCTGTAAAGAGAAAACTGAAAGCTGTAAAAAGAAAACAGAATTGTTACAGTAAATATAATATTGTATTTTCAGTTAGAAATCTAAAATTGTGAGGTAATTTAGCTACAGTTTTAAAAAATATTGAAGGGATGCATGGGAGGAAATAAATGCAAAGCCAACTGTTACACATGGAGCTACCTTTAATCAATATTATAGGTTTGCAGACTAGTCAAGGGATCCCTTCTTTCTTATGTATTCTCCAGCCTGTTCTATTCTCTCTGAAGACTTGGAACAGACCTGGAGTCACAAAGTGAAGGTGGTTGACGATGAATCATAACAGCTTGTTTCTTATGTGGAGCGATAGAACAAAAAAGGGTCTTATAATACTGAGAAAAAGTCTCTTAGTACTTCCTGAAATAGGCTTTTTTTAAAAAAAAAAAACATTGCAGGGAGCACTCTCCCAGCAAGAATTAGAGGTTATTTCCTAAGTCATGCCATCCTATTCAAAGACTATCCTTGAATTGATCTAAATTGGGATGAGTTATTTTTGGAGCAGGGATCAGCCCAATCTATGCAAATTCCTAATCTTATGCCCATCCTAGTATGTAAATGAATATATTGTCAGTCTCAGACTTATCTTCTGAGGATGCTGAACTCGGGGCAAACACCTGTACCTCTGAATCTTATTGTCACTTAGAACTTGCATTTAATAACATTTGTTGACATCATTACTTCTGCAGCTAAAAGACTTGATCCTACCCTTAAGCAATGTTTGCAAT